TTGGGGTTTGGGGTTTGGGGTTTGGGGTTTGGGGGATTTGGGGTTTGGGGTTTGGGGTTTGGGGTTTGAGGTAATTTGGGGTTTGGGGTTTGGGGTTTGGGGTTTGGGGTTTGGGGTTTGGGGTTTGGGGATGGGGTTTATTTGGGATTTGGGGGATTTGGGGTTTGGGATTTGGGATTTGGGGTTTGGGGTTTGGGGTTTGGGATTTGGGGTTTGGGGGATTTGGGGTTTGGGATTTGGGGTTTGGGATATTTGGGGTTTGGGGTTTGGGGGATTTGGGGGGTTTGGGGTTTGGGATTTGGGGTTTGGGATTTGGGGTTTGGGGTTTGGGATTTGGGGAGATTTGGGGATTTGGGGTTTGGGGTTTGGGGGGATTTGGGGTTTGGGGTTTGGGGTTTGGGGTTTATTTGGGGTTTTGGGTTTGGGGTTTATTTGGGGTTTAGGGTTTGGGATTTGGGGTTTGGGATTTGGGGTTTGGGATTTGGGGTTTGGGATTTGGGATTTGGGGTTTGGGGGATTTGGGGTTTGGGGTTTGGGGTTTGGGGTTTGGGGTTTGGGGGATTTGGGATTTGGGGTTTGGGGTTTATTTGGGGTTTGGGATTTGGGGTTTGGGGTAATTTGGGATTTGGGATTTGGGGTTTGGGGTTTGGGGTTTGGGGTTTGGGGTTTATTTGGGGTTTGGGGTTTGGGGTTTGGGGTTTATTTGGGGGGATTTGGGGTTTGGGATTTGGGGTTTGGGGGATTTGGGGGGATTTGGGGTTTGGGATTTGGGGTTTGGGGGATTTGGGGTTTGGGGTTTATTTGGGGTTTGGGATTGGGATTGGATTTGGGGTTTGGGGTTTGGGGTTTGCGGTTTGGGGTTTGGGATTTGGGGTTTGGGGTTTATTTGGGGTTTATTTGGGGTTTGGGGTTTGGGGTTTGGGGGATTTGGGGTTTGGGATTTGGGGTTTGGGGTTTAGGGTTTGGGGGATTTGGGGTTTGGGATTTGGGGTTTGGGGTTTGGGGTTTGGGGTTTGGGGTTTGGGATTTGGGGTTTGGGGGATTTGGGGTTTGGGGTTTGGGGGATTTGGGGTTTGGGGTTTGGGGGATTTGGGGTTTGGGGTTTGGGGTTTGGGGTTTGGGGTTTGGGGTTTGGGATTTGGGGTTTGGGGGATTTGGGGTTTGGGGTTTGGGGGATTTGGGGTTTGGGGTTTGGGGGTTATTTGGGGTTTATTTGGGGTTTATTTGGGGTTTGGGGTTTGGGGGATTTGGGGTTTGGGGTTTGGGGTTTGGGGGATTTGGGATTTGGGGTTTGGGGTTTGGGGTTTATTTGGGGTTTGGGGTTTGGGGGATTTGGGGTTTGGGGTTTGGGGGGTTTTGGGGGTTGGGGGTTTGGGGGTTATTTGGGGTTTATTTGGGGTTTATTTGGGGTTTGGGGTTTGGGGGATTTGGGGTTTGGGGTTTGGGGTTTGGGGTTTAGGGTTTGGGGTTTGGGGTTTGGGGTTTGGGATTTATTTGGGGTTTGGGATTTGGGGTTTGGGGATTTGGGGTTTGGGGTTTGGGGTTTATTTGGGGTTTGGGGTTTGGGGTTTGGGGTTTGGGGTTTGGGGGATTTGGGGTTTGGGGTTTGGGGTTTGGGGTTTGGGATATTTGGGGTTTGGGGTTTGGGGGATTTGAGGTTTGGGGGATTTGGGGTTTGGGGTTTATTTGGGGTTTGGGGTTTGGGATTTGGGGTTTGGGGTTTGGGGTTTGGGGTTTGAGGGATTTGGGGTTTGGGGTTTGGGGTTTGGGGTTTATTTGGGGTTTATTTGGGGTTTGGGGTTTGGGGGATTTGGGGTTTGGGGGGTTTGGGGTTTGGGGTTTATTTGGGGTTTATTTGGGGTTTATTTGGGGTTTGGGGTTTGGGGTTTATTTGGGGTTTATTTGGGGTTTATTTGGGGTTTGGGATTTGGGGTTTGGGGTTAGGGGTTTGGGGTTTATTTGGGGTTTGGGGTTTATTTGGGGTTTGGGGCTTATTTGGGGTTTGGGGTTTGGGGTTTATTTGGGGTTTGGGGTTTGGGGGATTTGGGGTTTGGGGTTTATTTTGGGTTTGGGGTTTGGGATTTGGGGTTTTGGGGGATTTGGGGTTTGGGGTTTCGGGTTTGGGGTTTGGGATTTGGGGTTTGAGGTAATTTGGGGTTTGGGGGGTTTGGGGTTTGGGGGATTTGGGGGATTTGGGGTTTGGGGTTTGGGGTTTGGGGTTTGGGGGATTTGGGGTTTGGGATTTGGGATTTGGGGTATTTGGGGTTTGGGGTTTGGGATTTGGGATTTATTTGGGGTTTGAGGTTTATTTGGGGTTTGGGGTTTGGGGTTTGGGATTTGGGGTTTGGGATTTGGGGTTTGGGGTTTGGGGTTTGGGGTTTGGGGTTTGGGGGATTTGGGGTTTGGGGTTTGGGGTTTATTTGGGGTTTGGGGTTTATTTGGGGTTTGGGGGATTTGGGGTTTGGGGTTTGGGGTTTGGAGGATTTGGGGTTTGGGGTTTGGGGTTTGGGGTTTGGAATTTGGGGTTTGGGATTTGGGGGATTTGGGGTTTGGAATTTGGGGTTTGGGGTTTGGGGGATTTGGGGTTTGGGATTTGGGGTTTGGGATTTGGGGTTTGGGGTTTGGGGTTTAGGGTTTGGGGTTTGGGATTTGGGATTTGGGATTTGGGGTTTGGGGTTTGGGGTTTGGGGTTTGGGATTTATTTGGGATTTGGGGTTTGGGGTTTGGGGTTTGGGGGATTTGGGTTATTTGGGGTTTGGGGTTTATTTGGGGTTTGGGGTTTGGGGTTTGGGGTTTGGGGTTTGGGGTTTGGGATTTGGGGTTTGGGGTTTGAGGTTTGGGGTTTTGGGTTTGGGGTTTGGGGTTTATTTGGGATTTGGGTTTTGGGGGATTTGGGGTTTGGGATTTGGGATTTGGTGTTTGGGGTTTGGGGGATTTGGGGTTTGGGGGATTTGGGGTTTGGGGTTTGGGGTTTGGGGTTTGGGGTTTGGGGGATTTGCGGGTTGGGGGATTTGGGGTTTGGGGTTTATTTGGGGTTTATTTGGGGTTTGGGGTTTGGGGGATTTGGGGTTTGGGATTTGGGAGGATTTGAAGAACTGGAATTCCCAAGGAAATTGGGATTTCAGAATTCCCGGAATTCCCCTGACCCCAAATCCCTCCCCCTCCAAAAATTCCCTCCATCTCATAAAAACCCCTCCCACAAATCCCAAAAAAACCCAAAATTCCTCCATTTTCCAAAATTCCCAATTCCCAAAAGTTTGCAAAAATCCCCAAACCCAAAAACTTCCAAATCCCAATCCCCAAAAATCCCCAATTTTTCAAAATTTCCAACTCCGAAAAATCCCAAAAAATCAATCCCAAAAATCCCAAAATTCCCACAAATCCCTAAATTCTGAATTTCCAAAATTCCCAAAACTCCCCAAAATCAATCCCAACATTTCTGAAAATTCAAAAAAATCAATTCCAAAATTCCCCAAAATTCACCCCAAAATTAAAAAAAAATCCCAAAAATCCATCCCAAAAATCCCAAAATCCCTCACATCAATCCCAAAAATCCATCCCAAAAATTCTAAAAATCCCACAAATCCCAAAATCCTGAATTTCCAAAAATCCCCAAATCCCAAAAATCCCAAAATTCCCAAAAATCCATCCCAAAATTTAAAAAAATCCCAAAAATCAACCCCAAAAATCAATCCCAAAAATCCCCAAATCCCCCAAAATCCCCAAAATTCCCAAAATCCCTCAAATCCATCCCAAAAATCCCTCCCAAAACTCCCAAAATCCCAAAATTCCCAGAAATCGATCCCAAAAAAATTCAAAAATCCCCAAATCCTGAATTTCCAAAAAATCCATTCCAAAATTCAAAAAAAATCCCAAAAATCCATCCCAAAAATCCCCAAATCACCCAAAATTCCCAAAATCTCCAAAATCCCCAAAATCCCTCAAATCAATCCCAAAAATCCATCCCGAAAATTCTAAAAATCCCAGAAATCAATCCCAAAAATCCCAAAATTCCTAAAAATCCCAAAATTTCCAGAATGCCCAAAAATCCATCCCAAAAATTCTAAAAATCCCACAAAGCCACAATCCTGAAATTCCAAAAATCCCAAAATCCCCAAATTCCCCAAAAATCCCCAAAATTGCCCAAAAATCCCCAAAATCCCAAAAAAATCCCCAAAATTAAAAAAAAACCTCCAAAATCCCCAAAATTCCCAAAAAAATCCCCCAAATCCCCCCAAATTTCCCAAAAAATCAATCCCAAAATTCCCCAAAACTCTCCAGAATTCCCTAAAAATCCCCAAAAAAATCCCCAAAAATCCCCCCAGAAATTCCAAAAATTCCCAAAAATTCCCAAAAAATCCCCCAAATCCCCCCAAAACCCCAAAATTCCCAAAATAATCAATCCCAAAATTCCCAAAAAGATCAATCCAAAAAATTCTAAAAATCCCACAAATCCCCAAATCCTGAATTTCCAAAAATCCCAAAATCCCCCAAAATTTCCCAAATCCCAAAAATTCTAAAAATCCCACAAAGCCAAAATCCTGAAATTCCAAAAATCCCAAAATCCCCAAATTGCCCAAAAATCCCCAAAATTCTCCAAAACTCCAAAAAATTCCCCAAAATCCCCCCAAAATCCCCAAAATATCCCCCAAATCCCCCCAAAAATACAAAAATCCCAAAAAATCCCCCAAATCCCCCCAAAACCACAAAATTCCCAAAAAAATCAATTCCAAAATTCCTAAAAAATCCCCAAAATTCCATGAAAATCCTCCAAAATCCCCAGAATTCCCCAAATTCCCCAAAAATCCCCCCCAAAATCCCAAAAATTCCCAAAAAATTCCCCAAAGATCCTCCAAAATCAAAAAAAATCCCCAAAATTCCCCAAAAATCCCCTAAAAAATCCCCTAAAAAATCCCCTAAACTCCCCAAAAAACTCCCCAAAATCCCAAAATCCCAAAAACTCCCCAAAATTCCCAAAAATTCCCCAAAAATTCCCAAAATTCCAACAGGTCACCGTCCTTTATTCGGGAACATTTTGGGAATTGGGGGGTCCAGCCCCGAAATTCCCAAAAAAACCCCAAAAAACCAAAAAACCAAATCCTGAATTTCCGGGGGGCGTGGCCACGTCAACGAGGAGGGCGTGGTCATTCAAATGAGGAGGGTGTGGTTATGTAAATGAGGAGGCGTGGCCACGCAAATCAGGAGAACTCGCGGACGAATTTGGTGTAGAAGTCGCTGAGTTTCTGCAGCAGCAGCTTCAGCTTCTCCGTGGGCGGCAGGATGGTCATGCTGGGGGGGAAATTCCCAAAAAAAATTCGGGAAAAGGCACCGGGGAACGTCCCCAAAAAAATTTTGGGAATTTTGGGTGGAAATTGGGGGAAAAAGGGAAAAAAAATGGCGAAAAAATGGCAAAAAATGGAAAAAAAATGGCAAAAAAATGAAAAATAAATCAAATTTTTTGCCACAGGAATTGTAAAAATGGAGGCGGAATTTGGGATTTGGGATTTTGGGATTTTGGGATTTGGGATTTTGGGATTTGGGATTTTGGGATTTTGGATTTGGGGATTTTGGGGGTTTGGGGTTTGGGGTTTGGGATTTTGGGATTTGGGGTTTGGGGTTTGGGGTTTTGGGGATTTGGGATTGGGGATGGGTCATGCCGGGGGGAAATTCCCAAAAAAAAATCGGGAAAAGGCACCGGGGAACGTCCCAAAAAACATTTGGGAATTTTGGGCGGAAATTGGGGGAAAAAGGGAAAAAAAATGGCAAAAAAACGGCAAAAAATGGAAAAAAATTGAATTTTTTCGTGATTTTTTTTGGCACAGGAATTGCAAAAATGGAGGCGGGATTTGGGATTTGGGATTTGGGATTTGGGATTTGGGGTTTGGGATTTGGGATTTTGGGGTTTGGGATTTGGTGATTTAGGATCAGAATTTTGGGGATTTGGGGTTTTGGGGATTTGGGATTGGGGATGGGTCATGCTGGGGGGGAAATTCCCAAAAAAAATTCGGGAAAAGGCACCGGGGAACGTCGCAAAAAAAATTTGGGAATTTTGGGCGGAAATTGGGGGAAAAAGGAAAAAAAAAAGGAAAAAAAATGGCAAAAAAATGAAAAAAAATTGAATTTTTTCTTGATTTTTTGGCCCAGGAATTGTAAAAATGGAGGCGGGATTTGGGATTTTGGGATTTGGGATTTTGGGATTTTGGGGTTTGGGATTTTGGGATTTTGGGATTTGGGGTTTGGGGTTTGGGATTTTGGGGTTTGGGATTTGGTGATTTAGGATGAGAATTTTTGGGATTTTGGGATATGGAGTTTGGGGATTTGGGATTTGGGATGGGTCATGCTGGGGGGAAATTCCCCAAAAAAAATTCGGGAAAAGGCACCGGGGAACGTCCCCAAAAAAATTTGGGAATTTTGGGGCGGAAATGGGGAAAAAAATGGCGAAAAAATGGTGAAAAAATGGCAAAAAAATGGCAAAAAAATCGAATTTTTTCTTGATTTTTTCAGCCCAGGAATGGTAAAAATGGAGGCGGAATTTGGGATTTGGGAATTTGGGATTTTTGGATTTGGGATTTTGAGATTTTGGGATTTGGGATTTTGGGGTTTGGGGATTTGGTGATTTAGGATCAGAATTTTGGGGATTTGGGGTTTTGGGATTTGGGGTTTTGGGGTTTGGGATTGGGGATGGGTCATGCTGGGGGGGAAAATCCCCAAAAAATTTCGGGAAAAGGCACCGGGGAACGTCCCAAAAAAAAATTTGGGAATTTTGGGCGGAAATTGGGGGAAAAACGGGAAAAAAAATGGCAAAAAAATGGCAAAAAATGGGAAAAAAATCGAATTTTTTCTTCATTTTTTGGCCCAGGAATTGTAAAAATGGAGGTGGAATTTGGGATTTTGGAAATTTGGGATTTTGGGATTTGGGATTTTGGGATTTGGGGTTTGGGATTTTGGGATTTGGGATTTTGGGGATTTGGAATTTGGTGATTTAGGATCAGAATTTTGGGGATTTGGGGTTTGGGTTTTGGGGATTTGGGGATGGGTCATGCTGGGGGAAATTCCCAAAAAAAATTCGGGAAAAGGCACCGGGGAACGTCCCCAAAAAAAATTTGGGAATTTTGGGCGGAAATTGGGAGAAAAAGGGAAAAAAAATGGCAAAAAATGGGAAAAAAATCGAATTTTTTCTTGATTTTTTGGCCCAGGAATTGTAAAAATGGAGGCGGAATTTGGGATTTTGGGATTTTGGGATTTGGGATTTTGGGAATTTGGGATTTTGGGGTTTTGGGATTTTGGGAATTTGGGATTTTGGGATTTGGGATTTTGAGGTTTGGGATTTGGTGATTTAGGATCAGAATTTTGGGGATTTGGTATTTTGGGGATTTGGGATTGGGGATGGGTCATGATGGGGGGGAAATCCCCAAAAAAATTCGGGAAAAGTCATGAGGGAATATCCCAAAAAAAAATTTGGGAATTTTGGGGGGAAATTGGGGGGAAAAAGGAAAAAAAAATGGCAAAAAAATGGCAAAAAATGGCAAAAAAATCGAATTTTTTGCCACAGGAATTGTAAAAATGGAGGCGGAATTTGGGATTTGGGATTTGGGATTTTGGAATTTGGGATTTTGGGATTTGGGATTTTGGGATTTGGGATTTTGGGGATTTTGGGATTTGGGATTTTGGGATTTGGTGATTTAAGATCAGAATTTTGGGGATTTGGGACTTGGGGTTTGGTATTTTGGGGATTTGGGATTTGGGGATGGATCATGCTGGGGGGGAAATTCCCAAAAAAAATTTGGGAAAAGGCACCGGGGAACGTCCCCAAAAAAATTTGGGAATTTGGGGCGGAAATTGGGGGAAAAAGAAAAAAAAAATGGCAAAAAAATGGCAAAAAATGGGAAAAAAATTGAATTTTTTCGTGATTTTTTTGGCACAGGAATGTAAAAATGGAGGCGGAATTTGGAATTTGGGATTTGGGATTTTGGGATTTGGGATTTTGGGATTTGGGATTTGGGATTTTGGGATTTGGGATTTGGGATTTGGGGTTTGGGGTTTGGGGTTTGGGGAATTTGTGATTTTGGGATTTTGGGGATTTGGGGTTCTGGGGATTTGGGATTGGGGATGGGTCATGCTGGGGGGAAATTCCCAAAAAAAATTCGGGAAAAGGAACCGGGGAACGTCCCAAAAAAAATTTGGGAATTTTGGGCGGAAATTGGGAGAAAAAGGGAAAAAAAATGGCAAAAAATGAAAAAAAATTGAATTTTTTCTTGATTTTTTGCCTCAGGAATTGTGAAAATGGAGGCGGAATTTGGGATTTTGGGATTTGGGATTTTGGGATTTGGGATTTTGGGATTTTGGATTTGGGATTTTGGGATTTGGGATTTGGGAATTTGGAATTTTGGGATTTTGGGATTTGGGATTTGGTGATTTAAGATCAGAATTTTGGGGATTTGGGGTTTGGGGTTTTGGGGATTTGGGGATTGGGGATGGGTCATGCTGGGGGGAAATTCCCAAAAAAAATTCGGGAAAAGGCACCGGGGAACGTCCCCAAAAAAATTTGGGAATTTTGGGTGGAAATTGGGGGAAAAAGGAAAAAAAATGGAAAAAAAATGGCAAAAAATGGGAAAAAATCGAATTTTTTCTTGATTTTTTTTGGCACAGGAATTGTAAAAATGGAGGCGGAATTTGGGATTTTGGGATTTGGGATTTGGGATTTTGGGATTTGGGATTTTGGGATTTGGGAATTTGGGATTTGGGAATTTGGGGTTTGGGATTTGGGATTTGGGGTTTTGGGGGATTTGGGATTGGGGATGGGTCATGCTGGGGGGGAAATCCCAAAAAAATTTGGGAAAAGGCACCGGGGAACATCCCAAAAAAATTTGGGAATTTTGGGTGGAAATTGGGGAGAAAAGGAAAAAAAAATGGCAAAAAAATGACAAAAAAATGGAAAAAAATTGAATTTTTTCTTGATTTTTTGCCTCAGGAATTGTGAAAGTGGAGGAGAAATTTGGGATTTGGGATTTTGGGATTTTGGGATTTTGGGATTTGGGATTTTGGGATTTTGGGATTTGGGATTTGGGTTTTAGGATCACAATTTTGGGATTTTGGAATTTGGGATTTTGGGGATTTGGGATTTGGGATTCGGGGATTTGGGATTGGGGATGGGTCATGCTGGGGGGAAAATTCCCAAAAAAAATTCGGGAAAAGGCACCGGGGAACGTCCCCAAAAAAATTTGGGAATTTTGGGTGGAAATTGGGGGGAAAAGGGAAAAAAAATGGTAAAAAAATGGCAAAAAAATGAAAAAAAAATCGAATTTTTTGCCACAGGAATTGTAAAAATGGAGGCGGAATTTGGGATTTTGGGATTTTGGGATTTGGGATTTGGGATTTTGGGATTTGGGATTTTGGGATTTTGGGATTTGGGATTTGGGATTTGGGATTTGGGGATTTTGGGATTTGGGGTTTGGGATTTGGGATTTGGGGTTTGGGATTTTGGGATTTTGGGAATTTGGGATTTGGGATTTGGGATTGGGAATTTTGGGATTTGGGGTTTGAGATTTGGGATTTGGGATTCCCCGGAATTTCGGGATGGAATCTCCCGGGATCAGGAATTTTGGGATGGAATCGATCAGGAATTTCGGGATGGGAATTCCCAGGATCGGGAATTTGGGGATGGAATCGATCAGAAATTTTTGATGGAATTGATCAGGAATTTCGGGATGGAATCGATCAGGAATTTGGGAATTTTGGGATGGAATCTCTCAGGAATTTTGGGATGGATCAATCAGGAATTTTGGGATGGATTTTCTCAGGAATTTGGGAATTTCGGGATGGATTTTCTCAGGATTAGGAATTTCGGGTTGGGAATTCCCGGGATCAGGAATTTTGGGATGGATTTTCTCAGGATCAGGAATTTTGGGATGGAATCGATCAGGAATTTCGGGATGGGAATTCCTGGGATCAGGAATTTCGGGATGGGATCTCTCAGGAATTTGGTAATTTCGGGATGGAATCAATCAGGAATTTTGGGATGGAATTGATCAGGATCAGGAATTTTGGGATGGGAATTCCCGGGATCAGGAATTTTGGGATGGATTTTCTCAGGAATTTGGGAATTTTGGGATGGATTGTCTCAGGAATTTGGGAATTTTAGGATTGATTTTCTCAGGAATTTGGGAATTTTGGGATGGGAATTCCCAGGATCAGGAATTTGGGGATGGAAGTGATCAGGAATTTGGGAATTTTAGGATGGAATCGATCAGGAATTTGGGAATTTTAGGATGGAATCTCTCAGGAATTTGGGAATTTGGGGATGGGATTTCCCAGGATCAGGAATTTCGGAATGGAATTGATCAGGAATTTCGGGATGGGAATTCCCAGGATCAGGAATTTCAGGATGGGAATCGATCAGGATCAGGAATTTCGGGATGGGAATTCCCGGGATCAGGAATTTCGGGATGGAATCGATCAGGAATTTTGGGATGGATTTTCTCAGGATCAGGAATTTCGGGATGGAATCTGCCAGGAATTTGGGAATTCTGGGATGGAATCTCCCGGGATCAGGAATTTCGGGATGGAATAGATCAGGAATTTTGGGATGGATTTTCTCAGGAATTTGGGAATTTCGGGATGGCATCTCTCAGGATCAGGAATTTTGGGATGGAATTGATCAGGAATTTTGGGATCGAATCTCTCAGGATCAGGAATTTTGGGATGGAATCAATCAGGAATTTCGGGATGGAATCGATCAGGAATTTTGGGATGGAATCGATCAGGAATTTGGGAATTTCGGGACGGAATCTCTCAGGAATTTGGGAATTTTGGGATGGGAATTCCCAGGATCAGGAATTTCGGGATGGAATCGATCAGGAATTTTAGGATGGATTTTCTCAGGAATTTGGAAATTTCGGGATGGGAATTCCCGGGATCAGGAATTTTGGGATGGATTTTCTCAGGATCAGGAATTTTGGGATGGATTTTCTCAGGAATTTGGGAATTTTGGGATGGAATCTCCCAGGATCAGGAATTTTGGGATGGATTCTCTCAGGATCAGGAATTTCGGGATGGAATCTCTCAGGAATTTCGGGATGGAATCTCTCAGGATCAGGAATTTTGGGATGGAATCGATCAGGAATTTCGGAATGGAATTGATCAGGAATTTCGGGATGGGAATTCCCGGGATCAGGAATTTTGGGATGGAATCGATCAGCAATTTTGGGATGGAATCAATCAGGAATTTTGAGATGGAATCGATCAGGAATTTTGGAATTTTGGGATGGAATCGATCAGGAATTTGGGAATTTCGGGATGGAATCTCTCGGGATCAGGAATTTCAGGATGGGATCGATCAGGAATTTTGGGATGGAATCTCTCAGGATCAGGAATTTTGGGATGGGATATCTCAGGAATTTTGGGATGGATTTTCTCAGGATCAGGAATTTTTGGATGGAATCCCTCAGGAATTTGGGAATTTTGGGATGGAATCTCTCAAGATCAGGAATTTCGGGATGGGAATTCCCGGGATCAGGAATTTTGTGATGAATTTTCTCAGGAATTTGGGAATTTCGGGATGGGAATTCCCAGGATCAGGAATTTCGGGATGGAATCTCCCGGTATCAGGAATTTCAGGATGGGAATTCCCGGGATCCGGAATTTTGGGATGGGAATTCCCGGGATCAGGAATTTGGGGATGGGATCGATCAGGAATTTGGGAATTTGGGGATGGAATCAATCAGGAATTTCGGGATGGGAATTCCCGGGATCAGGAATTTCGGGATGGAATCGATCAGGAATTTCGGGATGGGATTTCCCAGGATCAGGAATTTTGTGATGAATTTTCTCAGGAATTTGGGAATTTCGGGATGGAATCTCTCAGGAATTTGGGAATTTGGGGATGGAATTCCGGGAACCCACCGGAAGTGGTAGGTGCCCTCCTTCTGGCCGAAGCCGCTGCCCGGCACCACGCAGATCCCCGTCTCCTCCAGGAGCCGCATGCAGAAGAACATGTCCGGGGCCTGCTCCTTCTCCTGGGATCCGGAAAACACGGATCGGGATGGATCCCGATGGATCCCACAACTCCTTGGGTGGATCCCAGAACTCCTGGGATGGATCCCAATGGATCCCAAAAATCCTGGGATGGATCCCGATGGATCCCAGAAGTCCTGGGATTGATCCCAGTGGATCTCATAACTCCTGGGATGGATCCCACAACTCCTAGGATGGATCCTGGTGGATCCCAAAAATCCTGGGATTGATCCAAATGGATCCCAGAACTCCTGGGATGGGTCCCAGTGGATCCCAGAACTCCTGGAGTGGATACCAGTGGATCCCAGAACTCCCGGGATGGGTCCCACCACTCCTGGGGTGGATCCCAATGGATCCCAGAACTCCTGGGATGGATCCTTCAACTCCTGGGATGGATCCCAATGGATCCCAAAGCTCCTGGGGAGATCCCAGAACTCCTGGGATGGATCCCAATGGATCCCAAAGCTCCTGGGGTGGATCCCAGTGGATCCCACAACTCCTGGGATGGATCCCAATGGATCCCAGAATTCCTGGGATTTATCCCATCCATCCCAACATCTCCCAGTTGGGATCCCATCAATCCCAGTTGGGATCCCATCCATCCCATCCGTCCCAGTTGGGCTCCCGCCCATCCCAGTTGGGATCCCACCCATCCCAGTTTGGCTCCCGCCCATCCCATCAATCCCAGTTGGGATCTCATCCATCCCAGTTGGGATCCCATCCATCCCAGTTGGGATTCCATCCATCCCGCCCATCCCAGTTGGGATCCCATCCATCCCAGTTGGGATCCCATCCATCCCAGTTGGGATCCCATCCATCCCGCCCATCCCAGTTGGGATCCCATCCATCCCAGTTGGGATCCCATCCATCCCAGTTGGGATCCCATCCATCCCGCCCATCCCAGTTGGGATCCCGCCCATCCCAGTTGGGATCCCATCCATCTCATCCATCCCAGTTGGGATCCCACCCATCCAATTTGGGATCCGATCCATTCCATCCATCCCACCCATCCCAGTTTGGCTCACGCCCATCCCAGTTTGGCTCCCGCCCATTCCAGTTGGGATCCCACCCATCCCAGTTGGGATCCCATCCATCCCACCCATCCCAGTTTGGGCTCCCGCCCATCCCAGTTTGGCTCCCGCCCATCCCAGTTGGGATCCCGCCCATCCCAGTTTGGCTCCCGCCCATCCCAGTTGGGATCATGCCAATCCCAGTTTGTCTCCCGCCCATCCCAGTTGGCTCCCGCCCATCCCAGTTGGCTCCCGCCCATCCCAGTTGGGATCCCGCCCATCCCAGTTTGGACTCCCGCCCATCCCAGTTGTCTCCCGCCCATCCCAGTTTGTCTCCCGCCCATCCCAGTTGTCTCCCGCCCATCCCAGTTGTCTCCCGCCCATCCCAGTTGGGATCCCATCCATCCCATCCATCCCATCCATCCCATCCATCCCACCCATCCCAGTTGTCTCCCGCCCATCCCAGTTGGGCTCCCGCCCATCCCAGTTTGGCTCCCGCCCATCCCAGTTGGCTCCCGCCCATCCCAGTTGGGATCCCATCCATCCCAACATCTCCCAGTTGGGATCCCATCCATCCCAACATCTCCCAGTTGACATCCCGCCCATCCCAGTTTGGCTCCCGCCCATCCCAGTTGAGATCCCGCCCATCCCAGTTTGGCTCCCGCCCATCCCAGTTTGGCTCCCACCCATCCCAGTTTGTCTCCCGCCCATCCCAGTTGTCTCCCGCCCATCCCAGTTGTCTCCCGCCCATCCCAGTTTGGCTCCCGCCCATCCCAGTTTGTCTCCCGCCCATCCCAGTTGTTACGTCGTCCATCCCAACATCTCCCAATTGGATCCTGCCCATCCCAACATCTCCCAGTTGGGATCCCATCCATCCCATCCATCCCATCCATCCCAGTTGGGATCCCGCCCATCCCAGTTGGGATCCCATCCATCCCAGTTGGGATCCCATCCATTCCACCCATCCCAGTTGGGATCCCATCCATCCCAGTTGGGATCCCGCCCATCCCAGTTGGGATCCCGCCCATCCCAGTTGTTATGTCATCCATCCAAACATCTCCCAATTGGATCCTGCCCATCCCAACATCTCCCAGTTGGGATTCCATTCATCCCAGTTGGAATCCTGCCCATCCCAGTTGGAATCCCACCCATTTCAGCTGGGATCCCATCCATTCCAACTTCTCCCAGTTGGGATCCCATCAATCCCATCCATCCCAGTTTGGATCCCATCCATCCCAACATCTCCCAGTTGGGATCCCATCCATTCCGAACATCTCCCACTTGGGATCCTGCACATTCCAACATCTCCCAGTTGGAATTCCATCCATCCCAGTTCAGATCCCATCCATCCCAGTTGGGATCCCATCCATTCCAACATCTCCCAGTTGGGATCCCATCCATTCCAACATCTCCCAGTTGGGATCCCACCCATCCCAGTTTGGCTCCCGCCCATCCCAGTTTGTCTCCCGCCCATCCCAGTTGTCTCCCACCCATCCCAGTTGTCTCCCGCCCATCCCAGTTGTCTCCCGCCCATCCCAGTTTGGCTCCCGCCCATCCCAGTTGGCTCCCGCCCGTCCCAGTTTGGCCCCGCACCTTGGCGGCGGCGAGGGCGCGCGCCGGGATCTGGATGCGGGGGAAGGCGTACATGGCGCCCTGCACGGGGTTGCAGCTGATCCCGGGCGTGCGGTTCAGGATCTCCTCGGTCAGCCGGGCGCGTTCCGCCAGCGCGCTCAGCACCGCCTGCTTCTCCTGCCGGGAACGGGGACGGAAATGTGGGAATGTGAGCCCGGACAATCCCCTTGTCCCATCCCGGTGTCCCGTTATCCCGGTATCCCGGTGTCCCATTATCCCGGTGTCCTGTCATCCCGGTGTCCCATTGTCCCATTATGCCATTATGCCATTATGCCATTATCCCGTTATGCCACTATCCCATTATCCCGTTATCCCATTTTCTCATCCCAATTCAATTCCATTCCATCCCATTATCCCATTGTCCCGTTATCCCGTTGTCCCGTTTTTATCCCATTGTCCCGTTGTTATCCCGTTACCCGTTATCTCATCCCAATTCAATTCCATTCCATCCCATTATCCCATTATCCCATTATCCCATTGTCCCATTGTCCCATTATCCCGTTATCCCATTGTCCCATTGTCCCACTATCGCATTATCCCATTATCCTATTATCCCGTTCCATTATCCCAATTAAATTCCATTCCATTTCATTCCATTATCCCATTATCCCATTGCCCCATTATTCCATTATCTCATTATCCCATTGTCCCATTATCCCGTTATCCCGTTGTCCCATTATCCCATTATCCCATTTTCTCATCCCAATTCAATTCCATTCCAACCCATCCCATTGCCTCATCCCATTCTCCCATTATCCCACTAATCCACTATCCCATTATCCCATTATCCCCTTGTCCTGTTATCCCGTTATCCCATTATCCCGGTGTCCCGTTATCCTGTTATCCCATTATGCCATTATCCCATTATCTCCTTATCCCATTGTCCCATTATCCCATTATCCCTGTGTCCCGTTATCCCGGTGCCCCATTATCCCATTATCCCATTGTCAGCACCGCCTGCTTCTCCTGACGGGGACGGAAATGTGGGAATGTGAGCCCGGACAATCCCGCTGGCCCGTCCCCGTTATCCCGGGATGGACACGTGGGAATGCTGAGCCCGGACAATCCCGCTGGCCCATCCCCGTTCCAGGATGGAGATGTGGGAATGCTGAGCCCGGACAATCCCGCTGGCCCGTCCCCGTTCCGGGATGGACACGTGGGAATGTGAGCCCGGACAACCCCGCTGGCCCGTCCCCGTTATCCCGGTGTCCCGTTATCCCAGTGTCCCGTTATCTCATTGTCCCTTTGTCCCGTTATCTCATTGTCCCATTATCCCATTATCCTGTTATTCTGTTATCACATTATCCCGTTATCCCGTTATCCTGGTGTCCCGTTGTCCCATTGTCCCATTATGCCATTATCCTGTTATCCCATTGTCCCATTATCCCGTTATCCCATTATCCCACTGCCCCATTATCCCATTATCCTGTTATCCCATTATCCCGTTCCATTATCCCAATTCAATTCCATTCCATTTCATCCCATTATCCCATTATCCCATTGTCCCATTATCCCATTCCATTATCCCATTATCCCATTTCATTATCCCATTATCCCATTCCATTACTCCATTATCCAATTATCCCATTACCCCGTTACCCCATTATCCCATTGTCCTGTTATCCCGTTATCCCATTATCCCATTGTCCCATTATCCCGTTATCTCATCCCAATTCAATTCCATCCCATCCCATTGCCCCATCACATTGTCCCATTATCCCATTACCCCATTATCGCATTCCATTATCCCATTATCCCGTGATCCTGTTATCCCATTGTCCCATTATCCCATTATGCCATTATCCCGTTATCCCGTTATCCCATTACTCCATTATCCCATTATCCCGTTGTCCCATTACCCCATTATCCCATTCCCTTATCCCATTATCCCATTATCCCATCCCAATTCAATTCCATCCCATCCCATTGCCCCATCCTGTTTTCCCATTATTCCATTATCCCATTATCTCATTAATCCCATTGTCCCATTATCCCATTAATTACCCCATCACCCCATTATCCCATTATCCCAATCCTGGTGCCCCGTACCGCCTGGAAGCGCTGTAGGACGCTTCTCCAGGTTTGGGCGTGTCCATGACCATGGATCCCATCCCATAGATTCCACCCCAATCCCAATGATCCCATGGATCCCACCCCATGGATCCCACCCCATGGACCCAATCCCATGGATCCCACCCCAATCCCAATGATCCCACGGATCCATCTCTCCATACTGCCTGGAACCTCTCGTAGGACGGCTCTCCGGGCCGGGGCGGGTCCGTGACCATGGATCCCACCCCATGGATCCCACCTAAGATATCCCATGGATCCCACCCCATGGACCCCATCCCATGGATCCCATGGATCCCACCCCATGGATCCCACCCCATGGATCCCATGGATGTCTCCGTACCGCCTGGAACCTCTCGTAGGACGGCTCTCCAGGCCGGGGCGGGTCCATGACCATGGATCCCACCCCATGGATCCCACCCCATGGATCCCACCCCATGGATCCATCTCTCCGTACCGCCTGGAACCTCTCGTAGGACGGCTCTCCAGGCCGGGGCGGGTCCACCACGGCGTCCAGGAGCAGCTGTCCCGGCACGGGCGGGCAGAGCCGCACCGACACCAGCTTGGCCAGCTGGGCCTTCACCTCGGGGTGGAGGTTCACCACCTCCATGTACCCACCACGCAGACCACACCTGTGGGGCGGGAATGTCCCATCGGAAACGCCGGAAATTGGTGGGAAGGGGGACGGGGATGGGGTGGGGTGGGATCTGTGGGTGGGATTTGGGATGGGAATCCATGGATGGGAACCTATGGAGGAGAACCCATGGATGGGAACCTATGGAGAAGGACCCATGGATGGAATCCATGGATGGGAACCTATGGAGAAGGACCCATGGATGGGATCCATGGATGGGAAACTATGGAGAAGGACCCATGGATGGGATCCATGGATGGGAAACTATGGAGAAGGACCCATGGATGGGAACCTATGGAGAAGGACCCATGGATGGGAACCTATGGAGAAGGACCCATGGGTGGGAACCTGTGGAGAAGGACCCATGGATGGGAACCTATGGAGAAGGATCCATGGGTGGGAACCTATGGAGAAGGATCCATGGATGGGAACCTATGGAGAAGGATCCATGGATGGGAACCTATGGAGAAGGATCCATGGGTGGGAACCTATGGAGAAGGACCCATGGATGGGAACCTATGGAGAAGGATCCATGGGTGGGAACCTATGGAGAAGGACCCATGGATAGGAACCTATGGAGAAGGATCCATGGATGGGAACCTATGGAGAAGGACCCATGGGTGGGAATCCATGGATGGGAACCTATGGAGAAGGATCCATGGGTGGGAACCTATGGAGAAGGATCCATGGATGGGAATCCATGGATGGGAACCTATGGAGAAGGACCCATGGATGGAATCATGGATGGGAACCTATGGGAGCCATGGGTGGGAAATTATGGAGAAGAACCCATGGGTGGGAATCCATGGATGGGAACCTATGGAGAAGGACCCATGGATGGGAATCCATGGATGGGAATCCATGGATGGGAATCCATGGATGGGAATCCATGGATAGGAACCTATGGAGAAGGACCCCATGGGGTGGAGGTGACATCTCCACCCTACCCATGACCTCAACCCCACCCCCAGGAGATCCATGGGGTGGAGGTGACATCCCCCTCCCCAAATCCAGGAGATCCATGGGGTGGAGGTGACATCCCCATCCCCAAATCCAGGAGATCCATGGGGTGGAGGTGACATCTCCAACCCGTGACATCCATGGGGTGGAGGTGACATCTCCATCCCATCCATGACATCCATGGGGTGGTGGTGACATCTCCATCCCCAATCCATGACCCCAATCCCACACCCAGGAGATCCACGGGGTGGTGACATCTCCATCCCCATCCCAGGAGATCCATGAGGAGGTGACATCTCCATCCCCAATCCAGGAGATCCATGGGGTGGAGGTGACATCTCCATCCCCATCCCATGACATCCATGGGGTGGAGGTGACATCTCCAACCCCATCCCAGGAGATCCATGGGGTGGAGGTGACATCTCCATCCCCAATCCAGGACATCCATGGGGTGGAGGTGACATCTCCATCCCATCCCATGACATCCATGGGGTGGAGGTGACATCTCCATCCCCACCCCCAGGAGATCCATGGGGTGGTGACATTTCCATCCCAAATCCATGACCCCAATCCCACCCCCAGGAGACCCACGGGGTGGTGACATCTCCATCCCACCCCCAGGAGATCCATGGGGTGGAGGTGACATCTCCATCCCCAACCCCATGACATCCATGGGGTGGTGGTGACATCCCCATCCCCAATCCAGGAGACCCACGGGGTGGTGGTGACATCTCCAACCCGTGACATCCATGGGGTGGAGGTGACATCTCCATCTCCATCCCAGAAGATCCATGGGGTGGTGGTGACATCCCCATCCCCAACCCATGACATCCATGGGGTGGTGGTGACATCTCCATCCCCAATCCAGGAGATCCATGGGGTGGAGGTGACATCTCCATCCCCATCCCATGACATCCATGGGGTGGAGGTGACATCTCCAAACCCAACCCCAGGAGATCCATGGGGTGGAGGTGACATCTCCATCCCCAATCCAGGAGATCCATGGGGTGGAGGTGACATCTCCATCCCCATCCCATGACATCCATGGGGTGGAGGTGACATCTCCATCCCCAATCCAGGAGATCCATGGGGTGGAGGTGACATCTCCATCCCCACCCCCAGGAGATCCATGGAGTGGAGGTGACATCTCCATCCCCAATCCATTACATCCATGGGGTGGAGGTGTCATCTCCATTCCCAATCCATGACCCCAATCCCACCCTCAGGAGATCCATGGGGTGAAGGTGACATCTCCAACCCCATCCCATGACATCCATGGGGTGGTGGTGACATCTCCATCCCCAATCAATGAGATCCATGGGGTGGTGACATCTCCATCCCCATCCATGACATCCATGGGGTGGTGGTGACATCTCCATCCCCAATCCATGACATCCATGGGGTGGTGGTGACATCTCCATCCCCATCCATGACATCCATGGGGTGGAGGTGACATCTCCATCCCCATCCCATGACATCCATGGGGTGGAGGTGACATCTCCATCCCAACCCCAGGAGATCCATGGGGTGGAGGTGACACCTCCATCCCCATCCTATGACATCCATGGGGTGGAGGTGACATCTCCAACCTGAACCCCAGGAGATCCATGGGGTGGAGGTGACATCTCCAACCTGAACCCCAGGAGATCCATGGGGTGATGACATCTCCATCCCATCCATGACCCCAACCCCAATCCAGGAGATCCATGGGGTGGAGGTGACATCTCCAACTCCAACCTCAGGAGATCCATGGGGTGGAGGTGACACCTCCATCCCCAACCCATGACATCCATGCGGTGGAGGTGACATCTCCAAACCCAACCCCAGGAGATCCATGGGGTGGTGACATCTCCATCCCACCCCCATGACATCCATGGGGTGGAGGTGACATCTCCATCCCAGCCCCAGGAGATCCATGGGGTGGAGGTGACATCTCCATCCCAAATCCATGACATCCATGGGGTGGAGGTGACATCTCCATCCCCAACCCATGACATCCATGGGGTGGTGGTGACATCTCCATCCCAAATCCATGACCCCAATCCCCAATCCAGGAGATCCATGGGGTGGTGGTGACATCCCCATCCCCAATCCAGGAGATCCATGGGGTGGTGACATCTCCATCCCAAATCCATGAGATCCATGGGGTGGTGGTGACATCTCCATCCCCATCCCAGGAGATCCATGGGGTGGAGGTGACACCTCCATCCCACCCCCAGGAGATCCATGGGGTGGAGGTGACATCTCCATCCCCAGTCCAGGAGATCCATGGGGTGGAGGTGACATCTCCATCCCACCCCCAGGAGATCCATGGGGTGGTGGTGACATCTCCATCCCATCCCAGGAGATCCATGGGGTGGTGGTGACATCTCCATCCCCAATCAATGAGATCCATGGGGTGGTGACATCTCCATCCCCATCCATGACATCCATGGGGTGGTGGTGACATCTCCATCCCCAATCCATGACATCCATGGGGTGGTGGTGACATCTCCATCCCCATCCATGACATCCATGGGGTGGAGGTGACATCTCCATCCCCATCCCATGACATCCATGGGGTGGAGGTGACATCTCCATCCCAACCCCAGGAGATCCATGGGGTGGAGGTGACACCTCCATCCCCATCCTATGACATCCATGGGGTGGAGGTGACATCTCCAACCTGAACCCCAGGAGATCCATGGGGTGGAGGTGACATCTCCAACCTGAACCCCAGGAGATCCATGGGGTGATGACATCTCCATCCCATCCATGACCCCAACCCCAATCCAGGAGATCCATGGGGTGGAGGTGACATCTCCAACTCCAACCTCAGGAGATCCATGGGGTGGAGGTGACACCTCCATCCCCAACCCATGACATCCATGCGGTGGAGGTGACATCTCCAAACCCAACCCCAGGAGATCCATGGGGTGGTGACATCTCCATCCCACCCCCATGACATCCATGGGGTGGAGGTGACATCTCCATCCCAGCCCCAGGAGATCCATGGGGTGGAGGTGACATCTCCATCCCAAATCCATGACATCCATGGGGTGGAGGTGACATCTCCATCCCCAACCCATGACATCCATGGGGTGGTGGTGACATCTCCATCCCAAATCCATGACCCCAATCCCCAATCCAGGAGATCCATGGGGTGGTGGTGACATCCCCATCCCCAATCCAGGAGATCCATGGGGTGGTGACATCTCCATCCCAAATCCATGAGATCCATGGGGTGGTGGTGACATCTCCATCCCCATCCCAGGAGATCCATGGGGTGGAGGTGACACCTCCATCCCACCCCCAGGAGATCCATGGGGTGGAGGTGACATCTCCATCCCCAGTCCAGGAGATCCATGGGGTGGAGGTGACATCTCCATCCCACCCCCAGGAGATCCATGGGGTGGTGGTGACATCTCCATCCCATCCCATGACATCCATGGGGTGGAGGTGACATCTCCATCCCACCCCCAGGAGATCCATGGGGTGGTGGTGACATCTCCATCCCATCCCATGACATCCATGGGGTGGAGGTGACATCTCCATCCCCAATCCATGGCATCCATGGGGTGGTGACATCTCCATCCCCAATCCAGGAGATCCATGGGGTGGAGGTGACATCTCCATCCCACCCCCAGGACATCCATGGGGTGGAGGTGACATCTCCATCCCCAATCCAGGAGATCCATGGGGTGGAGGTGACATCTCCATCCCCAATCCATGACATCCATGGGGTGGAGGTGACATCTCCATCCCCACCCCCAGGAGATCCATGGGGTGGAGGTGACATCTCCATCCCCAATCCATGACCCCAATCCCACCCCCAGGAGATCCATGGGGTGGTGACACCTCCATCCCCATCCCATGACATCCATGGGGTGGAGGTGACATCTCCATCCCATCCATGACATCCATGGGGTGGAGGTGACATCTCCATCCCCATCCCATGACATCCATGGGTTGGAGGTGACATCTCCATCCCCATCCCATGACATCCATGGGGTGGAGGTGACATCTCCATCCCCATCCCATGACATCCATGGGGTGGAGGTGACATCTCCATCCCCATCCCATGACATCCATGGGGTGGAGGTGACACCTCCATCCCACCCCCAGGAGATCCATGGGGTGGAGGTGACATCTCCATCCCATCCATGACATCCATGGGGTGGAGGTGACATCTCTATCCCCATCCCAGGAGATCCATGGGGTGGTGGTGACATCTCCATCCCAAATCCAGGAGATCCATGGGGTGGAGGTGACATCTCCATCCCACCCCCAGGAGATCCATGGGGTGGAGGTGACATCTCCATCCCCAATCCAGGAGATCCATGGGGTGGAGGTGACACCTCCATCCCGTTCCCGGCACTCACTCTCCCATGAAGCCCTTGGAGATGGAGTGGAAGGAGGCCAACTCCACCGAGTCCGCGTAGGGCGGCCCCATCTCCATCAGGACCTTCTTGAAGGAGTGGAAGGTGGAGCCCTCGGCGTAGACGTTGTCCTGGTACACCTGCGGTGGCCCAGAGGACATTCCCGGGGTTTTTCCGGGGTTTTTCCGGGTTTTTCCGGGTTTTTCCGGGTTTTTCCGGGATTTTCCCAAAGTTTTCCGGGATTTTCCCAGAGTTTTCCGGGATTTTGGGGGATGGACCTCGCCCCACCTCGTCGGCCATGAGGAACAGCTTCTCCTCGAAGGCGAACCTGATGACGTCCTCGATGCACTCCCGGCTCTGCACCTGGCCTGGGGTGGGACGGGGTGGGATCCTGCCCCACGGAGCTGACCCATAGATCCCACCCCATGGATCTGCCCCATGGATCTGCCCCATGGATCTCACCCTATGGATCCCATCCCACAGATCCCATAGATCCCATCCCATGGATCCCACCCTATGGATTTCACCCCATGGATCCCACCCCATGGATCCCATAGATCCCATCCCATGGATAACATCCCACGGATCCCACCCTATGGATCCCACCCCATGGATCCCATCCCATAGACCCCATAGATCCCACCCCATAGACCCCATGGATCCCACCTCAGATATCTCACCTCAGATATCCCACCCCATGGATCCCATCCCATGGATCCCACCCCACATCCCCCACCCCACAAACCCCACAGATCCCACCCCACATCCCCCACCCCACAAACCCTATATATCCCACCTCACAGATCCCACCCCATAGATCCCATGGATCCCACCCCATGGATCTCACCCCCCATCCCCCACCTCACAAACCCCACAGATCCCACCTCAGATATCCCACCCCATGGATCCCACCCCACGGATCCCACCCCACACCCCACATATCCCCCACCCCCCAAACCCCACCCCCCGCCCCACAGCGGGTACCGGTGGGGTTGCCGGGGTTGATGATGCAGAGCACTCGGGGGCAGCAGCGCCGCCGCCCCTCGCTCAGCGCCCGGCGCAGCTCGGCCACGTCCAGAGCCCAGCGGCGCTCCTCGTTCAGCAGGTACCCGAGAGGGACCGCGTCCAGCTCGGCCAGCGCCGCCGAGTACAGCGGGTACTGCGGGATGGGGATCAGCACCCCCGTGCGGGACGGGCCCGAGCCCCACACCAGCAGCTTCAGCATCGTCTGGGGACATTGAGAGTGGGGGGACATCAGGGGACAGTCCCATCGAGTACAGCGGGTACTGCGGGATGGGGATCAGCACCCCCGTGCGGGACGGGCCCGAGCCCCACACCAGCAGCTTCAGCATCGTCTGGGGACACCAAAATGGGGACACTGAGGGGACAGTCCCATCGAGTACAGCGGGTACTGCGGGATGGGGATCAGCACCCCCGTGCGGGAGGAGCCCGAGCCCCACACCAGCAGCTTCAGCATCGTCTGGGGACACCAAAATGGGACACTGAGGGGACAATCATGGGGGACAGTGAGGGGACAGTCCCATTGAGTACAGCGGGTACTGCGGGATGGGGATCAGCACCCCCGTGCGAGAGGAGCCTGAGCCCCACACCAGCAGCTTCAGCATCGTCTGGGGACACCGAAATGGGGACAGTGATGGGACAGCCCCCCGAGCACAGCGGGTACTGCGGGATGGGGATCAGCACCCCCGTGCGGGACGGGCCCGAGCCCCACACCAGCAGCTTCAGCATCGTCTGGGGACACCAAAATGGGGACATCAGGGGACAGCCCCCCGAGTACAGCGGGTACTGCGGGATGGGGATCAGCACCCCCGTGCGGGAGGAGCCCGAGCCCCACACCAGCAGCTTCAGCATCGTCTGGGGACACCAAAATGGGACAATCATGGGGGACACTGAGGGGACAATCACAGGATGGAAACTGGGACATGGAGGGGACAATCCGGGGACAATCAGGGGCTGAGATGGGGGACACTGAGGGGACACTGACGGGACAATCATGGAGTGGAAATTGGGACATGGAGGGGACAATCAGGGGACAATCAGGTCATGGGATGGGGGGACACTGAGGGGACACTGAGGGGACAATGTAGGGACAATCACAGGATGGAAACTGGGACATGGAGGGGAAAATCAGGGGACAATCGTGGGGTGGGATGGGGGACACTGAGGGAACACTGAGGGGTCAATCAGGGAGTGGGATTTGGGACATGGAGGGGACAGGGAGGGGAGAGGATGGGGACACTGGGGTGACACTGAGGGGACAATTGGGGGGTGGGAATTGGGACACTGAGGGGACAATCGGGGGACAATCGGGGCGTGGGATGTGGGACATTGAGGGGACAATGTGGGGACAATCACAGGATGGAACTGGAACATGGAGGGGACAATCAGGGGACAATCACAGGATGGGATGGGGGACACTGAGAGGACACTGAGGGGACAATTGTGGGGTGGCAATTGGGACATGGAGGGGATAATCAGGGGACAATCGGGTCATGGGATGGGGGACACTGAGGGGACAGTCCCACCGAGTACAGCGGGTACTGCGGGATGGGGATCAGCACCCCCGTGCGGGACGGGCCCGAGCCCCACACCAGCAGCTTCAGCATCGTCTGGGGACACCAAAATGGGGCACAGTGAGGGCACAGCCCCCCGAGTACAGCGGGTACTGCGGGATGGGGATCAGCACCCCCGTGCGGGAGGAACCCGAGCCCCACACCAGCAGCTTCAGCATCGTCTGGGGACACCAAAAATGGGACACTGAGGGGACAATCAGGGTGTGGGATGGGGGACACTGAGGGGACAATCAGGGGACAATGTGGGGACAATCACAGGATGGAAATTGGGACATGGAGGGGACAATCAGGGGACACTCAGGGGTTCGGATGTGGGACACTGAGGGGACACTGAGGGGACAATCACAGGATGGAAATTGGGACATGGAGGGGACAATCAGGGGACAATCACAGGATGGGATGGGGGACACTTAGGGGACAATCAGGGGACAATCGGGGGACAATCACAGGATGGAAACTGGGACATGGAGGGGACAATCAGGGGACAATCGTGGGGTGGGATGGGGGACACTGAGGGGACACTGAGGGGACAATCAGGGGGTGGGAATTGGGACATGGAGGGGACAGTGAGGGGACATTGTGGGGACAGGTTGGGGTGGGACTCATGGGGTCATCGTGGGGACAATGAGGGGACACAGTGGGGTGGCAATCAGGACATTGAGGGGACACTGAGGGGACAATCAGGGGGTGGAAACTGGGACATGTAGGGGACAATCAGGGATCAATCGAGTCATGGGATGGGGGACACTGTGGGGACATCAGGGGACACTCAGGGGACACTGAGGGGACAATGCGGGATGGGGATCAGCACCCCCGTGCGAGAGGAGCCCGAGCCCCACACCAGCAGCTTCAGCATCGTCTGGGGACACCAAAATGGGGACATCAGGGGACATCAGGGGACAATCGTGGGGTGGGATGGGGGACATGGAGGTGACACTGAGGGGACAATGTGGGGACAATCACAGGATGGAAACTGGGACATGGAGGGGACAATCAGGGGACAATCAGGGGTTTGGATGTGGGAGACTGAGGGGACAATCGGGGGACAATTGGGGCGTGGGATGTGGGACACTGAGGGGACAATCAGGGGACAATTGGGGGGTGGGAATTGGGACATTGAGGGGACAATCCGGGCACAATCGGGTCATGGAATGGGGGACACTGAGGGGACAATTGGGGGACAATCGGGGGAAAATCACAGGATGGAAATTGGGACATGGAGGGGACAATCAGGGGACAATCGTGGGGTGGGATGGGGGACACTGAGGGGACACTGAGGGGACAATTGGGGCGTGGCAATCAAGACACAGAGGGGACAATATGGGGACAATGAGGGGACACCGTGGGGTGACAATCAGGACAGTGAGGGGACACTGAGGGGACAATGGTGGGGGTGGGAGTTGGGACATGGAGGGGACACTGAGGGGACACTGAGGGGACAATCAGGGGACAATGAGGGGCTGGGAATTGGGTCACCGAGGGGACACTGAGGGGACACCGTGGGGTGGCAATCAGGACATTGAGGGGACAATCAGGGGACAGAGTGGGGTGGGCACGGGGACAAGGAGGGGACAGGAACTTGGGGCCACCGTCACCACGGCAACCGCAGCCGGCCTTGGGGACACCGAGGACACGGTGCCACCACCCCCGCTGAGCTGGCAGTGTCCCCAGGGACACGGTGCCACCACCCCCTCGGCTCCGCTCCTGGTGCCAAGAGCAGCACAAAGGTCCCTTTGTCACCCTTTGTCACCCCTTGTCACCCTTTGTCACCCTTTGTCACCGCCCGCCGTGGGAACGGCCCCGGGAGGTGGCAGCGCGCCCGGATGTCCCCGAGGCGGTGGCACGGTGGTGACAGGATGGTGGCAGGGTGGTGACACAGTGGTGGCACGGTGGTGGCAGGGTGGTGGCAGGGAGGTGGCAGGTGGCAGGGTGGTGGCAGGGTGGTGACAGAGGGGGTGGCACGGTGGTGGCAGGTGACAGGGGTGATGACAGGGGTGGTGACAGAGATGGTGACAGAGATGGTGACAGAGGTGGTGACAGAGGTGGTGACAGAGGTGGTGGCAGAGGTGGCAGGGAGGTGGCAGGGCAGTGACAGAGGTGGTGACAGGGTGGTGACAGGGCGGTGACACGGTGGTGGCAGGGTGGTGACAGGGTGGTGACAGAGGTGGTGGCAGGCTGGTGGCAGGGATGGCAGGGAGGTGACAGGGTGGTGGCAGGGTGGTGGCAGGTGGCAGGGTGGTGGCAGGGAGGTGACAGAGATGGCAGAGGTGGTGACATGGAGGTGGCAGGGCGGTGGCAGGTGGCAGGGAGGTGACATGGTGCTGGCAGAGGTGCTGGCAGAGGTGGTGACACGGTGGTGGCAGGGACAGTGGCAGAGGTGATGTCAGGGTGGCGACAGAGATGGTGGCAGGGAGGTGGCAGGTGACAGGGTGGTGACACGGTGGTGGCAGAGGTGGTGACACGGTGGTGACAGGGTGGTGGCAGGTGGCAGGGAGGTGGCAGGGTGGTGGTAGGTGACAGTGATGGTGGCAGAGAGGTGGCAGGGTGGTGGCAGGGAGGTGGCAGGGCAGTGACAGAGGTGGTGGCAGGGTGGTGACACGGAGGTGGCACAGTGGTGGCAGGGGTGGTGACAGGGTGGTGACAGGGCAGTGACACAGTGGTGGCACGGTGGTGGCAGAGGTGGTGACAGGGGTGGTAGCAGAGGTGGTGGCAGGGTGGTGGCAGGGGCGGTGGCAGGGAGGTGGCAGAGGTGGTGACATGGCAGTGGCAGGGGCGGTGACAGGTGACAGGGTGGTGACAGAGGTGGTGGCAGAGATGGGGCAGAGGTGGTGGCAGGGTGGTGGCAGGGCAATGACAGGGATGTCAGGGTGGTGACAGGGCAGTGACACAGCAGTGACAGGGGTGGCGACAGGGATGGCAGGGAGGTGACAGGATGGTGGCAGAGGTGATGGCAGGGTGGTGGCAGGGTGGTGACAGGGGTGGTGGCAGAGTGGTGACAGAGGTGGTGGTGGGGATGGCACGGGTGGTGACACGGGGGTGGCAGGGAGGTGGCAGGTGACAGGGCAGTGACATGACAGTGACAGATGACAGGGGTGGTGACAGGGCAGTGTCAGGGCAGTGACAGGGCAGTGACAGGTGACACAGGGGTGGTGACACATTGGTGACCCCCGTCCCCATACCACGATGGCGTCGCTGGCCCCGGCCGACAGGAAGATGTCCTCGGCGCGGGCGGGGACGCCGCCGTCGCGCCGCTCGATGTGCCGCGCCACGTCCTCGCGCACCGGCTGCAGCCCGGGGCTGGCGCTGTACGCGCCTGGGGACAGGGGACAGCGCTGTCACCTCCCGCAGTGGCACTGCCCCGCGGGGTGTGGCGCTGTCACAGGGTCCCCACGGTGGCACCGCCCCACCACCAGGTCCCCATGGTGGCACCGACCCCGCGGTGGCACCGACCCCATGGTGGCACCGACCCCACGGTGGCACCGACCCCATGGTGACACCGACCCGTGGTGGCACTGACCCGCGGTGGCACCGCCCCACAGGGTGCGGCACCGTCACCAGGTCCCCGTGGTGGCACCGACCCGTGGTGGCACCGACCCCGTGGTGGCACTGTCCCCAGTTCCCCACGGTGGCACTGACCCACGTCACTGTCCCCACGTCCCCGCGGTGGCACCGACCCACGTCGCTGTCCCCAAGTCCCCGCAGTGGCACTGAGCCACACTGCCACCGCCCCATGTGGCGTGTCACTGTCCCCACGTCCCCGCGGTGTCACTGACCCCATGGTGGCGCTGTCCCCACGTCCCCACGGTGACACTGACCCACGTCACTGTCCCCACGTCCCCACGGTGGCACTGACCCACAGTGGCACCAACCTACGTCACTGTCCCCACGTCCCCGCGGTGGCACCGACCCCACGGTGTCACCGCCCCGCGTCACTGTCCCCAGGTCCCCGCGGTGGCACTGACCCACGGCACTGTCCCCATGTCCCCGCGGTGGCACTGACCCTGCGGTGGCACTGCCCCACATGGCATGGCGCTGTCCCCATGTCCCCGCGGTGTCACCGCCCCACGTCACTGTCCCCACGTACCCGCGGTGTCACTGACCCCACGTCACTGTCCCCACATCCCCGCGGTGGCACTGACTCACAGTGTCCCTGACCCGCGTCGCTGTCCCCATGTCCCCGCGGTGGCACCGACCCACGTCACTGTCCCCATGTCCCCGCGGTGGCACTGACCCGCATCACTGTCCCCATGTCCCCCTGGTGACACCGACCCACGTCACTGTCCCCATGTCCCCACGGTGGCACTGACCCCACGTCACTGTCTCCATGTCCCCGCGGTGGCACCGACCCACGTCACTGTCCCCATGTCCCCGTGGTGGCACCGACCCACGTCACTGTCCCCATGTCCCCGTGGTGGCACTGACCCCATGGTGGCACTGCCCCACATGGTGTGGCGCTGTCCCCACGTCCCCGCGGTGGCACCGCCCCACATGGCATGGCACTGTCCCCACGTCCCCGCGGTGTCACTGACCCCATGGTGGCACCGCCCCACATGGTGTGGCGCTGTCCCCATGTCCCCGTGGTGGCACCGACCCACAGTGTCACCGACCCACGTCACTGTCCCCATGTCCCTGCAGTGGCACTGACCCGCAGTGGCACTGCCCCACATGGTGTGGCGCTGTCCCCATGTCCCCGTGGTGTCACTGTCCCCACGTCCCCACGGTGGCACTGCCCCACGTCACTGTCCCCATGTCCCCGCGGTGGCACTGACCCCATGGTGGCACTGTCCCCATGTCCCCGCGGTGGCACTGACCCCGCAGTGGCACCAACCCACATCACTGTCCCCATGTCCCTGCAGTGTCACCGCCCCACGTCACTGTCCCCACGTCCCCGTGGTGGCACCGACCCACGTCACTGTCCCCATGTCCCTGCGGTGGCACTGACCCACGTCACTGTCCCCATGTCCCCGCGGTGGCACTGACCCACATCACTGTCCCCACGTCCCCGCGGTGTCAGCGACCCACGTCACTGTCCCCACATCCCCGTGGAGGCACCGACCCACGTCACTGTCCCCATGTCCCCGCGGTGGCACTGACCCCATGGTGGCACCGACCCCACAGTGGCACTGACCCCGCGGTGGCACTGACCCCATGGTGGCACTGACCCAGCGGCGCTGTCCCCACGTCCCCGCAGTGTCACTGACCCACGTCACTGTCCCCACATCCCCGTGGTGTCACCGACCTGCATCACTGTCCCCACGTCCCCGTGGTGGCACTGACCCCACGGTGTCACCGACCCACGTCACTGTCCCCACGTCCCCGCGGTGGCACCGACCTGCATCACTGTCCCCATGTCCCCATGGTGGCACCGCCCCACGTGGCGTGGCACTGTCCCCACATCCCTGCGGTGTCACCGACCCGTGTCACTGTCCCCACGTCCCCGCGGTGACACCGACCCGCAGCACTGTCCCCATGTCCCCGCGGTGGCACTGACCCCACGTCACTGTCCCCATGTCCCCACAGTGTCACCGACCCACGTCACTGTCCCCACGTCCCCGCGGTGGCACCGACCCACGTCACTGTCCCCATGTCCCCGTGGTGGCACCGACCCACGTCACTGTCCCCATGTCCCCGTGGTGGCACTGACCCCACGATGACACCGACCCACGTCACTGTCCCCACGTCCCCGCGGTGACACCGACCCACGCCACTGTCCCCACGTCCCCGCGCTGTCACTGCCCCATGTGGCACTGTCCCCATGTCCCCGCGGTGTCACTGACCCCATGGTGGCACTGTCCCCATGTCCCCGCGGTGGCACTGACCCCATGGTGTCACTGTCCCCATGTCCCCGCGGTGGCACTGACCCACGTCACTGTCCCCACGTCCCCGCGGTGTCACCGCCCCACGTGGCGTGTCACTGTCCCCATGTCCCCGCGCTGTCACCACCCCCATGGTGGCACTGTCCCCATGTCCCCACGGTGTCACCGACCTGCGCTGCCACCCCCGCACGCCGCCAGCAGCCGCCGGGCGCGCGCCTCAGCATCGGCCGGGACCGAGGGGTGACCCTGGAGCTCGGGGCACAGGCACAGAGCCACCACCTGTGGGGACATTTGGGGACACTTGGGGACATCAATGACACCGAGGGGTGACCCTGGAGCTCCGGGCACAGGCACAGGGCCACCACCTGTGGGGACATTTGGGGACACTTGGGGACATCAATGACACCGAGGGGTGACCCTGGAGCTCCGGGCACAGGCACAGGGCCACCACCTGTGGGGACATTTGGGGACATTTGGGGACATCAATGACACCGAGGGGTGACCCTGCAGCTCCGGGCACAGGCACAGTGCCACCACCTGTGGGGACATTTGGGGACATTTGGGGACATCAATGACACCGAGGGGTGACCCTGCAGCTCCGGGCACAGGCACAGTGCCACCACCTGTGGGGACATTGGGGACACTTGGGGACATCAATGACACCGACGGGTGACCCTGGAGCTCCGGGCACAGGCACAGAGCCACCACCTGTGGGGACATTGGGGACATTTGGGGACATCAATGACACCGAGGGGTGACCCTGGAGCTCCGGGCACAGGCACAGGGCCACCACCTGTGGGGACATTTGGGGACATTTGGGGACATTTGGGGACATCAATGACACCGAGGGGTGTCCCTGCAGCTCCGGGCACAGGCACAGGGCCACCACCTGTGGGGACATTTGGGGACATTTGGGGACATTTGGGGACATTCGGGGACATCAATGACACCGAGGGGTGACCCTGCAGCTCCGGGCACAGGCACAGAGCCACCACCTGTGGGGACATTGGGGACATTTGGGGACATCAATGACACCGAGGGGTGACCCTGCAGCTCCGGGCACAGGCACAGGGCCACCACCTGTGGGGACATTTGGGGACATCAATGACACCGAGGGGTGTCCCTGGAGCTCCGGGCACAGGCACAGAGCCACCACCTGTGGGGACATTGGGGACACTTGGGGACATTTGGGGACATTTGGGGACAATGGGGACATTTGGGGACATTTGGGGACATTTGGGGACATCAATGACACCGAGGGGTGACCCTGGAGCTCCGGGCACAGGCACAGAGCCACCACCTGTGGGGACATTTGGGGACATTTGGGGACACTTGGGGACATCAATGACACCGAGGGGTGACCCTGGAGCTCGGGGCACAGGCACAGGGCCACCACCTGTGGGGACAATGGGGACATTTGGGGACATTTGGGGACATTTGGGGACATTTGGGGACATCAATGACACCGAGGGGTGTCCCTGGAGCTCCGGGCACAGGCACAGGGCCACCACCTGTGGGGACATTTGGGGACACTTGGGGACAGTTGGGGACACTTGGGGACACTTGGGGACACTTGGGGACATTTGGGGACATTTGGGGACATTTGGGGACAGTTGGGGACACTTGGGGACACTCAGGGACACTTGGGGACACTCGGGGACACTTGGGGACATTTGGGGACACTCAGGGACACTCAGGGACACTTGGGGACACTCGGGGACACTTGGGGACACTTGGGGACATTTGGGGACACTTGGGGACATTTGGGGACACTGTCGGTGGCCGTACCTGGCGCAGGAAGGTGATTGGCTGCTGGGACACTCGGGGACACTCGGGGACATTTGGGGACATTTGGGGACATTTGGGGACACTTGGGGACATTTGGGGACATTTGGGGACACTTGGGGACACTTGGGGACATTTGGGGACACTCGGGGACACTCGGGGACAGTTGGGGACACTCGGGGACACTCAGTGACATTTGGGGACATCTGGGGACACTTGGGGACACCGTCGGTGGCCGTACCTGGCGCAGGAAGGTGATTGGCTGCTGGGACACTTGGGGACACTCGGGGACACTCGGGGACATTTGGGGACACTCGGGGACACTCGGGGACATTCGGGGACACTCGGGGACATTTGGGGACACTTGGGGACACTTGGGGACACTTGGGGACACTCGGGGACACTTGGGGACACTTGGGGACACTTGGGGACACTCAGGGACATTTGGGGACACTTGGGGACACTCGGGGACAGTTGGGGACACTCAGGGACACTTGGGGACACTCAGGGACACTCGGGGACACTCGGGGACACTTGGGGACACTCGGGGACACTCGGGGACATTTGGGGACAGTTGGGGACACTCTCGGTGGCCGTACCTGGCGCAGGAAGGTGATTGGCTGCTGGGACATGTGGGGACACTTGGGGACACTTGGGGACACTCGGGGACACTCGGGGACACTCAGGGACGTTTGGGGACATTTGGGGACACTCTTGGTGGCAGTGCCACCGGGCCATACCTGGCGCAGGAAGGTGATTGGCTGCTGGCCCATGGCGTGAGCGTCACCGATGTTGGCCTTGATCACCTCCGTGAAGGGCTTGGGGACACCCTGGGGACATTTGGGGACATTGGGGACATTGGGGACATTGGGGGCATTGGGGACATTGGGGACATTGGGGACATTGGGGACATTGGGGACATTGGGGACATTGGGGGACATTGGGGACATTTGGGGACATTGGGGACATTGGGGACATTGGGGATATTTGGGACATTGGGGACATTGGGGACACCCTGGGGACATTGGGGACATTGGGGACATTGGGGACATTGGGGACATTGGGGACATTGGGGGGACATTGGGGACATTGGGGACATTGGGGACATTGGGGGGATTGGGGGGACATTGGGGACATTGGGGACATTGGGGACATTGGGGACATTGGGGACATTGGGGACATTGGGGGACATTGGGGACATTTGGGGACATTGGGGACATTGGGGACATTGGGGATATTTGGGACATTGGGGACATTGGGGACATTGGGGACATTGGGGACATTGGGGACATTGGGGATATTTGGGACATTGGGGACATTGGGGACACCCTGGGGACATTGGGGGACATTGGGGACATTTGGGGACATTGGGGACATTGGGGACATTGGGGACATTGGGGACATTGGGGGGACATTTGGGGACATTTGGGGACATTTGGGGACTTTGGCCACCTCGGACTCTGCCCCGGGGGTGGCACCGCCCCGGAAGTGCCACCGCTGTCACCTTTGTCACCTTTGTCACCTTTGTCACCCCCCGCCTGTCCCCAAGCCCCTCCCCCACCCCCCAAAAAAGAGAGACCCGGGGGGGAAAAAAATCGGGTTTTTTGGGAAAAAAATTCACTTTTTTGGGGGGGAAAAAATCACTTTTTTTGAGGAAAAAAATCAGTTTTTTGGGGAAAAATATCAGTTTTTTGGGGGGAAAAAATCGCTTTTTGGGGAGAAAAAATTGCTGGTTTTTGGGGAAAAAAATTCACCTTTTTGGGGGAAAAAATTCCTTTTTTGGGGGAAAAAAATCACTTTTTTGGGGGGCAAAAAATCTCTTTTTTTTGGGGAAAAAATCACTTTTTTGGGGGGGAAATCTCCTTTTTTTGGGGTGAAAAAATCCCATTTTTGGGGTGATAAAATCCCATTTTTGGGGTGATAAAATCCCATTTTTGGGGTGATAAAATCCCATTTTTGGGGCAATAAATTCCCATTTTTGGGGCGGTTATGGGGTGGGAGGGTCCAAATTTGGGGTTTGGGGGTCCCGATTTGGGGTCGGGGGTCGCGATTTTGGGGTCCCGATTTTGGGGGTCCCGATTTTGGGGGTTTTTGGGGAGGATTTTTTTGGGGTTTTTTTGGGGAGATTTTTTGGGGGGGATTTTTTGGAGGGTTTTTTTTTTTTTGGTGATTTTTTGGGGCTTTTTGGGGATTTTTTGGAGTTTTTTCGGGGGTTTTTTAAGGTTTTTTGGGGTTTGTTTTTGATTTTTTGGGGCTCTTTGACTTTTTTTGGGGTTTTTTTGGGATTTTTCTGGGGTTTTTTTTGGGGTTTTTTTGGGGCATTTTGGGGGATTTTTTGGGGGAATATTTTGGGATTTTTTTTGGGGATTTTGGGGGATTTTTTTGGGATTTTTTGGGGACTTTTTGGGGCTTTCTTGGGGTTTTTTTGAAGTTTTTTTTGGGATTTTTTTAGGATTTTTGGGGGATTTTTCTCGGGATTTTTTTAGGGATTTCTTTAGGATTTTTTGGGGATTTGTTAGGATTTTTTCAGGGATTTTTTTGATTTTTTGGGATTTTTTGGGGGATTTTTTGGGGCTTTTTCGGACTTTTTGGCGGTTTTTTGGAGTTTTTTCGAGGGTTTTGGGGGGATTTTTTTAGGATTTTTTAGGATTTTTGGGGGTTCATTGGGCATTTTTCAGGTTTTTTTTATTTTTTTTAGGGATTTTTTTGGATATTTTTTTTTTTATATTTTTAGGATTTTTTCAGGGATTTTTTTTGAGGATTTTTTTAGGATTTTTTTGGGATTTTTTTAGGATTTTTTGGGTTATTTTGGGGGGGATTTTTTTTGGGATTTCTTTAGGATTTTTTTGGGGGATTTTTGGGGCAGGGATTTTTTTTTTTTGTGAATTTTTTTTTATTTTTGGGGGAATTTTTTGGGGTTTTGGGGATTTTTTGGGGGTTATTTTTGGGGAATTTTTTTGGGGATTTTTAAAAGAATTTTAATGGGTTTTTTTGGGGATTTTTTGGGGATTTTTTTGGGGTTTTTTTAGGATTTTTTAGGATTTTTTTTTTGGATTTTTAAAGGATTTTTTTTGGGATTTTTTTAGGATTTTTTTGGGCTTTTTTGGGATTTCTTTAGGATTTTTTGGGGGATTTTTTTAGGGATCTTTTAGTGGGATTTTTTAGGGGATTTTTAGGGATTTTTTCTGGGATTTTTCTGGGGATTTTTTTAGGGAGATTTTTTTTGATTTTTTGGGGGGGATTTTTTAAGGGTATTTTTGGGGATTTTTTAGGATTTTTTGGGGGATTTTTTTGGGATGTTTTTGGGGGGATTTTTTTGAGATTTTTTTTGGGTTTTCCGGTGATTTTTTTGGGGCTTTTTGGGGACTTTTGGGAATTTTTTGGGGGAGTTTATTTATAATTTTTTTAAGGATTTTTTTAGGAATTTTTTAGGATTTTTTTGGGATTTTTTAAGGATTTTTTTAGGATTTCTTTAGGATTTTTTGGGGGAATTTTTGTAGAATTTTTTAGGATTTTTTTGGGGATTTTTTTGGGATTTTCTTTAGGATTTTTTGGGGGGATTTTTTTAGGGATTTTTTCTGGGATTTTTCTGGGGATTTTTTAAGGATTTTTTTGGGGATTTTTTAAAGGATTTTTTTCGGATTTCTTTAGGATTTTTTAGGATTTTTTGGGGGGGATTTTTTTTCGGATTTTTTTCGGATTTTTTTCGGATATTTTCGGATTTTTTTGGGATTTTTTTGGGGGTTCTTTTTAGGATTTTTTTGGGGGGATTTTTTGAGGATTTTTTTGGGGGATTTTTTTAGGATTTTTTTTTGTGGGGATTTTTTTGGGATTTTTTTGGGGATTGTTTTTGATTTTTGGGGGCTTTTTGGGGACTTGGGGGAATTTTTGGGAGGATTTTTTTTGGATTTTTTTGGGGATTTTTTTAGGATTTTTTTCGGATTTTTTGGGGGATTTTTTTAGGATTTTTTTAGGATTTTTTTCAGATTTTTTGGGATTTTTTGGGGGATTTTTTAGTATTTTTTTAAGGATTTTTTTGGGGATTTTTTTGGGGAATTTTTTAGGATTTCTTTAGGATTTTTTTGGGAGGATTTTTTTAGGATATTTTTAGGGATTTTTTCTGGGATTTTTCTGGGGATCTTTTGGGATTTTTAAAGGATTTTTTTTGATTTTTTAGGAGGATTTTTTTAGGATTTTTTTTGGGGATTTTTTAGGATTTTTTGGGGGGATATTTTTGATTTTTTTTCGGATTTTTTCGGATTTTTTTTCGGACTTTTTTAGGATTTTTTTAGGATTTTTTTAGGGGGATTTTTTTTAGGATTTTTTTAGGATTTTTTTGGGGTTTTTTGGGATTTCTTAGGACTTTTGGGGGATTTTTTAGGGATTTTTTGGAGGAATTTTTTAGGTTTTTTTCGGATTTTTTTAGGATTTCTTTAGGATTTGTTTTAGGATTATTTTTAGGATTTCTTTTAGTATTTTTTTAGGATTTTTTTGGGTTTTTTAGGATTTTTTTTTTAGGATTTTTTTAGGGTTTTTTGGTATTTTTTAGGACTTTTTTGGGATTTTTTTAGGATATTTTAGGATTTTTTTGGGGATTTTTTTAGGGATTTTTTAGTGGGATTTTTTCGGGAATTTTTTTAGGATATTTTCCCCCCCCCCCGCTGCCGGTACCTGTCCGAGCTCCCGCTCGAGCTCGGCGGCGCGGGCGGCGATGGGGCCGCGCACCGCGTACTCCACGCGCCGCACCGCGGGGTTCATCGCGCCGGGGCTCAGCACCGGGGCCCGCCGCGCCCCGCCCGCCGCCGCCGCCGCCGCCGCCGCCATCGCCGCCAGCCTGCGCCACCGGAGGGGCCTCAGGGGAACGGGACAGCGACACCGGGACACCGGGACAGGGACAGCGACACCGGGGAGACCTCAGGGGAACGGGGAACGGGACCGGGACAGGGACAGGGACAGGGACAGCACCGGGACAGAGGGACAGCGGGACAGCGGGACACCGGGACACCGGGACAGAGGGATACCGGGACACCGGGACCGGGATACCGACACCGGGACACCACCGGGACAGCGACACCGGGACCGGGATAGGGACACCGGGACCGGGACACCACCGGGACAGCGACAGCGGCACCGGAGAGCCCTCAGGGGAACGGGGAACGGGACCGGGACCGGGACAGCACCGGGACACCACCGGGACAGGGACAGCGGCACCGGAGAGCCCTCAGAGACCGCGGGGAACGGGACACCGACACCGGGACACCGGGACAGGGACACCGGGACAGGGGCACCGGGACAGCGGCACCGGAGAGGCCTCAGGGGAACGGGACCGGGACCGGGACAGGGGGACAGGGACACCGGGATGGCGACACCGGGACCGGGACAGGGACACCGGGACCGGGACACCACCGGGACCGGGACAGCGACACCGGGACGGGGACAGCGACACCGGGACCGGGACACCACCGGGACACCACCGGGACCGGGACAGGGACACCGGGACAGGGACACCACCGAGACACCACCGGGACACGGGGACAGCGGCACCGGAGAGCCCTCAGGGGAACGGGACACCGGGACCGGGACAGGGACACCGGGACACCGGGACCGGGACACCACCGGGATGGGGACAGCGGCACCGGGATGGGAACAGCGGGACAGGGACAGTGGGACACCGGGACCGGGACACCACCGGGACCGAGACAGCGACACCGGGACCGGGATAGGGACACCGGGACACCGACACCGGGACAGCGACACCGGGACCGGGACAGCGACACCGGACAGAGGGACACCGCGACACCACCGGGACAGGGACAGCGGGACAGCGGGACAGCGGGACAGCGACACCGGGACAGCGGGACACCACCGGGACAGGGACAGCGGGACAGCGGGGACAGCGCGGGGGCAGCGGCGGGACCGCCCCGGTAAGAACGGAGCGTCCTACCGGGAAAGAACGGAGCGTCTCCGGTAAGAACGGAGAGTCCCACCGGAGGGACGGAGCCGCTCCCGGTAAGAACGGAGCGTTCCCGGTAAAAAACGGAGCGTCCTACCGGGAAGGAACGGGGCGTCCCACTGGAGGGATGGAACTGCTCCCGGTAAGAACGGAGCGTCCCCGGTAAGAACGGAGCGTCCTACCGGGGGGATGGAGCCGCTCCCGGTAAGAACGGAGCGTCCCCGTTAAAAACGGAGCCGCTCCCCCGGTAAAGAGCGGAGCCGCTCCCGGTAAAGAACGGAGCGTCCCTACCGGGAAGGAACGGGGTGTCCCATCGGAGGGATGGAGCCGCTCCCGGTGAGAACGGAGCCGCTCCCGGTGAGAACGGAGCCGCTGTCCCGGTAGGAACGGAGCCGCTCCCGGTGCGTGAGAACCGGCAATGGGCACCGGGCCCGGAGCAACGGGCGAGGGGCGAAGGGCAACGGGCACCGCGCCGAGAGCAACGGGCACCGGGCAACGGGCGGCGGGGGCGGGGCGGGAGCGGGGACAAGGGGCACGGGGGTGGCACCGGAACACCGGGAAAGGGGTGTGGGACAGCGGGTGGCACCGGGAATGGGGACACCGGGAGCGGGGACAAACGGGGATGGGACACCGGGAAAGGGACACCGGGAAAGGGACACCGGGAGCGGGGACAAACGGGGATGGGGCAGCGGGAGGTACCGGGAATGGGACTGGCACCGGGACAGGGACAAGGGGCACGGGAGTGGCACCGGTACACCGGGAATGGGATTGGCACTGGGAATGGGGACAGGGACGGGGGTGGCACCGGGACACCGGGATGGGGACACCGGGATGAGGACACGGGGACAGGGGGTGGCACCGGGACCGGGGAGGGGACACCGGGAAAGGGACACCGGGAAGGGGAGTGGCACTGGGAATGGGGACAGGGACGGGGGTGGCACCGGGACACCGGGATGGGGACACCGGGGAGGGGATGGCACCGGGATGGGGACACCGGGAGCGGGGGTGGCACCGGGACAGCGACAACCGCCACAACGGTGGCACCAGGACAGGGGGTGACACCGGGATGGGGACACCGGGAGAGGGGTTGGCACTGGGACAGCGACAACCGCCACAACGGTGGCACCGGGACAGGGGTGGAACCGGGACAGGGACACCGGGACAGGGACACCGGGAGCGGGGGTGGCACCGGTACAGCGCCAACCGCCACAACGGCGGCACCGCCTCCCCGGGGCCAACGCGCAGCGGGCTGGAGGTGGCACCGCGACACTTTTGGGGACTCCGCGACACGAGGGGGGCGGGGCAGGGGCGGAGTGGGAATTTGGGAGCCCAAACCCACCCAAAAGTCCCCAAATTGCCCCAAAATGTCCCAAAAATGTCCCCAAAATGTCCCCAAAGGTCTCACATCGCCCCCCGGCGGCTCCAACCGCCGCGCCCGCGGTGGCCACGCCCCCGAGCTGTCAATCACGCGGTGACCACGCCCCCCGCGCTGTCAATCACGCAGTTGACCACGCCCCCCGCACTGGCAATCACGCAGGTGGCCACGCCCCCCGCGCTGTCAATCACGCGGTGGCCACGCCCCCCGCGCTGTCAATCACGAGAGTGGCCACGCCCCCGCCGTCAATCACGCGAGTGGCCACGCCCCCCGCGCTGTCAATCACGCGAGTGGCCACGCCTACTCGCAGATGATTGGCTGCGGGGAAAGGGGGCGGGGCCGGGATAGCCCAAAGTGCGGAGGGGGGGGGGGAAGGGGGGATTGGACCATTGGGGGACCCCGTGGGGGACCCCAAAATTTGGGAGCCAATAAATCCATATTAGAGACCCCAAAAATCCCAAATTTTCCCACAAATTTCGCATTTAGGACCCCCCAAATCCCAAATTCCCCCAAATTCCCCCTTTAGGATCCCCAAAAATCCCAATTTTTTCCTCAAATTCCCCATTTAGGACCCCCCGAAAATCCAATTTTTCCCCCAAATTCCCCATTTAGGATCCCCCAAATCCCAAATTTCTTTTTTTAGGATCCCCCAAATCCCAAATTCCCCATTTAGGACCCCCGAAATCCCAAATTCTCCATTTAGGATCCCCCAAATCCCAAATTTTCCCCCAAATTCCCCATTTTGGACCCCAAAAATCCCAAATTCCCTTTTTAGGATCCCCCAAATCCCAAATTCCCCCAAATTTCCCATTTAGGATCCCCCAAATCCCAAATTCCCCATTTAGCAACCCCCAAAATCCCAAATTTTCCCCCAAATTTCCCATTTAGGATCCCCCAAATCCCAAATTTTCCCCCAAATTCCCCATTTAGGATCCCCCAAAATCCCAAATTTTCCCCAAATTCCCCATTTAGGATCCCCAAAATCCCAAATTTTCCCCCAAATTCCCCATTTAGGATCCCCCAAATCCCAAATTTCCCCTTTTAGGATCCCCCAAATCCCAAATTTCCCATTTAGGATCCCCCAAATCCCAAATTTTCCACGAAATTCCCCATTTAGGATCCCCCAAATCCCAAATTCCCCATTTAGGATCCCCCAAATCCCAAATTCCCCATTTAGGATCCCCCAAACCCAAATTTTCCCCATTTCAAATCCCCCAAATCCCAAATTCCCCCTTTAGGACCCCCAAAATCCCAAATTTTCCCCCAAATTTCCCCATTTAGGATCCCCCAAATCCCAAATTCCCCTTTTCGGGTCCCCCAAATTCCGTTTTTGGGTCCCCCCAAAACCCCAAAACCCTTTTGGGGCCGCCCCTCCCCCTTATCAGCCCCTTCCAGGCCCCCAAAAAAACCCCAAAAAACCCAAAAAAAACCCCAAAAAAATCCAAAACATCCCCAAAAAAACCCCCAAAAAACCCCCCCAAAAAACCCCAAGAAACCTTTAAACCCCCCCCAAAAACCCCTAAAAAAGCCCCCCAAAAAACCCCAAAAACCCCCAAAATAACCCCCGAAAAAACCTTTAAAAACCCCCCAAAAAAGCCCCAAAAAAGCCCCAAAAAATCCCCAAAAAACCTCCAAAGAAAACCCAAAAAAAACCCCAAAAAACCTTTAAAAACCCCCCAAAATCCCCCCAAAACCCCCCAAAAACCCCCTAAAAAACCCCAAAAATCCCCCCAAAACCCCCAAAAAACCCCCCAAAAACCCCCCAAAAAACCTCAAAAACCCCAAAAAAACACCAAAAAACCCCCAAAAAACCCAAAAAAACCCCAAAAAACCCCGAAAAAACCTTTAAAAACCCCCCAAAAACCCCCAAAAACCCCCCAAAAACCCCAAAAACCCCCCAAAAAACCCCAATAAACCCCCAAAACCCCCCAAAAAAGCCCCCCAAAAAACCCCAAAAACCCCCAAAACCCCCCCCAAAAACCCAAAAACCCCCCCAAAAAAACCCCCAAAAACCCCAAAAAAAACCCCCAAAAAACCCCTAAAAACCCCCCAAAAAACCCAAAACACCCCCAAAAAAACCCCAAAACCCCCCCCAAAAAAACCCTAAAAAGCCTTTAAAAACCCCCGAAAAACCCTCAACCCCCCCCCAAAAACCCCAAAACCCGCAAAAAAACCCCCCAAAAAACCCCAAAACTCGCAAAAAAACCCCCCAAATGACCCCAAAAAAGACCCCAAAAAAAACCCCCAAAAAACCCCAAAAACCTGCCAAAAACCCGGGGGTTTTTGGGTTTTTGGGGTTCGGGTTTTGGGGTTGTTGGGGTTGGGGTTTTGGGGTTTTTGGGGTTCGGGTTTTGGGGTTTTGGGGTTTTTGGGGTTTTTGGGTTTTTGGGGTTCGGGTTTTGGGGTTTTTGGGTTTTTGGGGTTTTTGGGTTTTTTGGGGTTGGGGTTTTGGGGTTTTTGGGGTTTTTGGGGTTCGGGTTTTGGGTTTTTGGGGTTTTTGGGGTTTTTGGTGTTCGGTTTTGGGGGTTTTTGGGGGTTTGGGGGTTCAGGTTTTTGGGGTTTTGGGGTTTTGGGGGGTTTTGGGGTTTGGGTTTTGGGGTTTTTGGGGTTTTTGGGGTTTTTGGGGTCCCCCCCCGCTCTGACCTTTCCCCGCGGCCGCCGCGCCCGGAATAGGATCGGGGGGGGAGGGGCGGGTGGGGGTTGGGGGGCCCCGCCCGGGGGGGCCCCGCCCCCATAAAGGGACACCCCCCAAAAAAATAAACCCCAAAAAAAACCCCCAAAAGAACAAAAAAACACCCAAAAAAACCCCCAAAAACCCCCTCAAAAAATCCCAAAAGAACCCCCCCAAAAAACCAAAAAAATACCCAAAAAAAACCCCAAAAAACCCCCAAAAAACGCAAAAAAACCCGCAAAAAACCCAATAGAAACCTCCCAATAAAACCCCCCAAAAACCCCAAAAAACCCCCCAAAAATCCAAAAAAAGAAGCCAAAAAACCCCCAAAACCCCCACGCCCCCAAAAAACCCCAAAAATCCCAAAAAAACCCCAAAAAACCCAAAGGAACCCCCCAATAAAACCCCGCAAAAAAAACCCCCAAAAAAACCCCCCAAAAAACTCCAAACAAATCCCAAAAAAGACCCCAAAAAACCCCCCAAAAAACCCCCAAAAAAATCACCCAAAACCTCCCAAAAAAAACCCCAAAAAACCCCCAAAAAACCCTCTGAAAAACCGAAACCCCCCCAAAAAATCCCCCCCAAAAACCCCAAAACCCCCGAAAAAACCCCAAACAAACCCCAAAAAATCCCCCAATAAACCCTCCCAAAAAAAAACCCTCAAAAAAACCCCAAAACCCCCCAAAAAAACCCCAAAAAAACCCCCAAAAAACTCCAAACAAAACCCAAAAGACCCCAAAAAGCCCCCCAAAAAAAACCCAAAAAAATCCCCTAAAACCCCCCCAAAAAACCTTTCACAAAATCCCCAAAAAAACCCCCCAAAAAAACCCCTCTGAAAAACCGAAACCCCCCAAAAAATCCCCCCAAAAACCCCAAACCCCCCCCCAAAAAACCCCCCCAAAAACCCTAAAAACTTAAGAAACCCCTCAAAAACCCCCCAAAACCCCGAAAAAACTCCAAAAAATCCCAAAAATAACCCCTAAAAAAAACCCCAACCCCCCCCCCAAAAAAACCCTAAAAAAACCCCCAAAAAACCCAAAAAAAGCCCCAAAAATCCCCAAAAAAACCCAAAAAAACCCCCCAAAAAACCCCCAAAATTTCCCCCAAAAACCCCCCAAAAACCCCCAAAAACAAAAAAAAACCCCAGAAAACCACCCAAAAAACCCCCAAAAAACCCCCAAAACCCCCAAAAAAACCCCAAACCCCGAAAAAAAACCCCAAAAAAACCCCCGAAAAAAACCCCAAACCTCCCCAAAAAACCCCAAAGAAACCCCAAAAAATCG